CGCCGGCACGAGCAGCCCAAACAGGCGCCCAAGACCTCACCAAGACGGCCAAAGAGAGTCCCAACAAGGCCGCAAGAGAGCCCGAACACAGGCCAAGAGCCGCCCAAAACGGCCCAAAAGAGACCCAAGACAGTCCGAACAAAGGCCTAAGACAGTCCAAGAGGCAGCCAAGACGGCCCAACAGAGCCCCACAACGCCACAGGAAGCACCAAGAGGCCTCTAAGAGGCACCACGAGGCCACCAAGAGGCGCACACGAAGCCGAAAAAGACACCTCTGAGGCACAACATATGCTTCAAAACGAGCTCCCAAAGGCACCGACACCGACAACATGAGCGAAGGCGACGCGCTGCGAGCCCCCCCAAGAGGTCGGCGGTGTGGCGTAAGCCCAAGAATCTGAGGGAACCCTCAAGTCTATCCAGAAACCTACAGGATATCGAACCACGATCGGAGGATGATGCAGGAGAGCCCAGAATCGAAACGATCGGCGATCGGCGGAAATCGGCAGCCGAGTCGGGAGAAGTCGAATCGGCAGAAATCGGCAGGCCAGGACGCCTGTAATCGGAAAACGGAACCCGCCTCAGAACCCCGAGTCGCACCGAAACGGAATGGGAGGCCACCGCAGTCGAATCGAATCGCATCGGAGGGATCGAGACGATCGGGAGCGGCAAAGAGGGGGGTGTCCAAGAGGGGGGGGTGCAAATCGTGACTGGCGGCATGTGCGCGGTCCAGCGGGGGGGCCAGGGACGTAATGAAATAAGAAGAGGCGCCATGAAACCTGAGGAAATATCATGCCCCCCGCCATGATATCCCCCCCCCCCCTAGTCATCACCCCCCTCTTTTCCGCCCCCGAGACGAGCTCGTCTGGGAAGGCGCCCGGGACGCTGCGGGACGCTGCGCAGGATCGTGCTGCGAGCAGCGCGCCCCCGCGCGGTGAGGGCTGCAGCGCGGCCAGGAGAGCCGCCAGGAGAGCACGCGGGGCCCAGGACCGAGGGGGCCCCAGGGCACACAAGCAAACACACAAGCATGACAGGACTTCCCAGATGTTCTGAGCTTTTGTCTTCCCCCCCACTTCCCATGTGTTCCCCTATGTTCTGGGGAATCGGCGATTCATTGTGTCTGTGTGTCTCTTTGCCTCCTGGACGACGCCCCAACCCAAGGCGGCCCGAGAGCCCGAGACACCCCAGCCAAAGACGGCCCAAAAACCGCCTACGGTTGGGTCGGGCATGTCCCCCTACAGGCGGGTTTCGGACGAAGAACAAAACGTAGTCAACAAAATACACCAAACTGATCATCAACATTGGTTATTAAAGATCGTCCCCTGGCTATTTTCTTGACTGGCTTGGAATATTCCTTCTGCAGAGGGACAAGCCCGACGGCAAGTTCGCGTCGTGTCGACCCCGGCGTTGGTTCCTGACACCGCGCGGATCGGTCAACCTTGAAAGATCGGCTGCTTTTCATTCGCCGCCCGACCGTTCCATACAGGCCGATTCTGGGCCACTGGCGGCATTCAACCTTGAACGCCCGCGGCGGGGTCGCCTGTCGACACAACGCGAACCTACCGTAGCGAACCTATGACGGCTTGAACCTAAATCGGCCTGACCTTCAGGACACGTCTTGGAACCGCCCCCAGAATCCGAATGGGGCCATTAGGGCTCCGCAGGAAGTCTTCTGGATCCCGGCAGAAGCCTCCAGGAATCCTCGCGAAAATCGCACGACTCGTTCCAGACTCTTCAGGGATCCTTTTTGGTATCCTTCAGGCTGCGCGAAGGTATTTCCGAAACCATCAGGAACCCATCGAAACCTGCAAAATCCAAGGTATCGATTCTTCAGGCATCCTCTTGGAGTCCTTCGAGGACCCCCCAAGGATCTATAAAATCCAAAGGGCACCTCAGAACCCCCCAGGAGTAGTTAGTTACTCGCCCAGACATCGTTCAACATCCTTCAGGACCCCGCAAGAGTCCCCAAAGAAACATAATGTCTCATCGTATGATCGATTATGTGCGCGTTGCTCTGAGTGCCGTGCTAAGACAAGGCTTGGATGTAAAACGCAATTGCTTGCCAACGAGTAGCGAACAAGGCACTGAGGGGTGGCGTTGGTAATGGTACGTTCAAGCTCGCAGTGCAACAGCGCCCTCCATCTCCTCCTCCTTCTGCTCCTCGTCCTTTTCCTGCTCCTTTTCCCATCGTTGTTCCTCCCCTGCGCCCCGTGTCGTCCTCCCCCCCCCTCCTTGAGCAGCGTCGGGGCATATCGTCGTCAGTTAGTCCAGGGAGGAAGGGAGAAGGGAGAAAGAAGGAACGTTACCTGTGCGGCTATGTTGCGCTAACGACTCCAAAATGGTCCAAGGAGGGTTCCTACGGATTCCCGCAACTGTCCCAACAATTTGTTGCAGCATTCCTGAATGATTACGGACAACTATTTCGGGCTCCTGTGGATTCCTGAACAATTCCTGGGGATTCGTGCCGGGATTCTACGGGTTCCTTGAGGATTCGTAAAAATCCTCTCGGATACCTGAAGATTCCTGCTGCGGGCCCCTTGGATGATCCCTGACGGCTCCTGAGGACTCCTCTCAACTCTTTTCCTCCAAGATGCCTGAAAGATTCCTGAGGCTCCTGGCGGATTCCTGGTGGATATCCAAACATTCATCACAACATGTCTGGCGATCCCAAGCGGATCCGTGAGGACCCCTGAGGGTTCCTGACGATTCCTGCTGCGAGGTCATACAGGTTCTTCAGGACAACAGAATGGCCGTTGGAGGGAGGGTTCCCGAGGACTCCTGCCATTTCCGGGAGGATTCCTGAAGGCTCTTTCAGGATTCCAGGAGGATTCATGAAGATCCCTGCGGGTTGCTGAACGATCCCCGAAGATCCTCGAGAATTCGCTACTTCCCCAAAAAGACGCGATCGGATTCGGAAGGATTCCCGGAGGATAGGAGGAGGATTCCTGCTGGTTCCTGATGGTTGCTGAAGGATGCCTGAGGATTCCTGAATGATTCCCAAGGTCCCATGGGGTTCCAAAGGATTTCCCAAGATTCCCAAATATTCCTTAGGACTCCTGTGGGGTTCCCGAAGGACTCCAGGAGGATTCCTGTAGGTTTGCTGCCGGCTCATGAAGGATTCGTGAGGATTCCTGAGGGTTCATCAAGATTCCCTCAATGCTTCCAGTGGCCCCTTCAGATTCCTGAGATTCGAAATTGATTCCTGACGGATCCCTGAGGAGTCCTCCAAGATCCCTGGCAGATCCCGGACGACTCCTGAGAACTCGCTGCTCCACCTCCTCCCACCTCGGGAATTCATGAACTATGGAGTGTTCTGTTGATGTCGTTCTGGTTCCCCCCTTTCGGAATTAATAATTTGCCGCGATAATGATAACAGCAGGGGATGGAAAATTCATTGTCATGGTCATGTTGCATGTTTCGCGTGGTTCCCGGGTGTTTTGTTTGCGGTTCCCGCAAGGTTATGTTGCGGTTCCCGCGTGGTTCCCGCGTGGTCTTTTGCGTTTTTGGCGTGTTCCTGCGTGGCTGTTTTGCGGTTCCCGCGTGGTGGTGTTGCTTTCCTCGCGTTGTTTCCGCATGGTTCTTGTGCGGTTCCCGCATTGTTCTTCTGCGTTCTTCGCGTTGTTCCCGTGGTTGTTGTGTGGTTCCCGCGTGTTTGTTTTGCGTTTTCGGCGTGGTTCCCGCGTGGCTATTCGTGTGGTTCCCGCGTGGTTCTTTTGCGGTTCCCGCGTGTTGGTCTTGCAGTTGTCGTATGTTCCCGCGTGTTTGTGTGCGTTCTTTCCGCGGTTCCCGCCTGGTATGCTTGCGCCTTTCGCGTGGTTCCCGCGTGGGTAGTTTGCATGTTTCGCGTCGTTCCCGCGTAGTTATTGTACGTTAGTGATGTGGTTGAGTTTGTTGTGCTGCTTGGCTATGTTGCGTGCGCCGCGTCTTTGGAATGGTTTTCGCGTGGTTATGTTTGTTGGTTCTAATGTTTTGTGTGCGCGGTTACATTGCGTTTTGTCGCGTGTTCCTCACGTGGTTGGTGTTGCCCGCCCGCGTGGTTCTCGCGTGTTTATTTTCTGTTCGCGTGTTGATTGGATCGTCTCCAGTGGTTATCGCGTATCCCCCCTGTGTTTTTGTGTTGTTCGCGCGGTTCTCCTTTTATGTTGTGCCCGGCAGGGGCCCGATAGAGAACACGGATAGGAGCCACCCCAAATGAAGACGATGATGCTGCTGATGCTGGTGATGCTGTTGATGGCCATCACCATCAGCATCATCATCATAATCATTAGCATCAGCATCACCATCATCTTCACATCACCATCATCTTCACATCACCATTATAATCAGAATCGTCGTCATCGTCATCGCCATCGTCAGCATCATGACGAGGTTGATGGTGATGATGTTGATGCTGGTGATGCTGATGATTATGATAATGCTGATGCTGATGATCATGTTGATGGTGATGGTGATGGTGATGGTGATGGTGATGGTGATGCTGCTGATGATGATGATGATGATGATGATAATGAGGAGGAAGAGGAAGAGGAGGAGGATGATGACGACGCGCACACCGGGCGCAATCAATAATGACTGCGAGGATACCCGTCGGTCGGAACAAATGGTTAGAAACATGGCGAGGACGGCGTCGAAGATGCACCGGGCTTCCGCCCGCCCCCTGAAGAGGAGGAAAGCGGAACGAACCGTCCCTGAAGTGGATTGGGATCTGGGCGTCCAGGAATTACCTACTTCCAACGACCGACGGGTACCGATCAGGCCTTGCTTGGACAGCTGCACCACCGACGATAGGAATGCCAAGGATGAAGGGGAACTGGGACACACAAATAAATACACACAAATAAAAGGATTCCCCATATTTCACCATGTTTTCTGGGTTTTTGTCTTCCCCCCCACTTCCCATATTTTCCCATATTTTCCTGGGAGTGGACGATTAATTGTGTCTGTGTGTTTTTTCCTCTCCTGAAAGGAAACGGCGAGGCTGAGCCGGCGCTCCCGCCCGTGGCCTGAAGGTCAGGCACGAGATCGCCGCGGGCCGCGTCACGCTGCGCCGCAGCCTGTAGAGCAGCTGGCCCTCCTGGGGGGAAGCGGCAATTTGGACACCCGAAATGGGTACCGAAAGAATGGGTACACCCTGCGAAATGCTTAAGAAATCATGGGTTAAGAAATTCATGGTCTCAGAAATTGAATAAAACCCAAAACTTCGATCAAAATCTTAGGATTTACATTGAAAGATTAAGAATAATCGAGACTCTGGACGAAAACTTAGGTTTTCTTCAGCATCGCCTAAGGTGTACAATGCCCAACAGCAAATGCTGTCCCGAACCAACAGCGGCCGCTGTTGGGCAGGCGGCCTTCTGTCCCAAATGGACACAGGCCGCGGCCGCGCCGACAGCGAGTCCTGTTCAAAATGAGCAGGAACTGCTGTTGGGCATTGTACCCATTCTTTCCGTGCCCATCTCGTTCGTGCAGAGGCAAGGCTCGTCGGCACCAACGGCCAGTGGAGGGCCTGCCGCGACAGCGCGGCTGCCGTTTTGGGGGCGGGAGAGCTCCGCTCCCGGCGGGCCTCCCGACCGACGCCTGACCGCATCGGGCTTCGACTAACCCCAGATTTCGTAATAAAAGGGAGGGGGGTCTCATTTCGGGGGGGGTCTTTTCCAAGCTATCTTGGAGGGCCTGGGGGGGGTCTGGGGACGATGTTTTGGAGGGTTCCCCCACGGGGGAGGTCTGAAATGGCTTGTCTTGGAGGGTCCAGACCCCCTCCCTTTTATTACGAAATCTGGAGTAACCCTAGGTCGGGCAGGTCCCCCCGACAGGCGGATTTGGGAGGAGACCTTAAAACAAAAACCTAAGCTATGCAAAAATACTCAAACTCAAACATCGCCCCCAGACTATTGTTCCACTATGTTTGAATATTCCTGCTGTAGAGGAACACGCCCGACATAAGACTAACCCGGCTCAGCGCAATCCCAGCCCAACCACTTTGTGCTAACACAAAGAAGGACCCCTAACCCTTTGGGATGGATCCTAGGGGGGCCAAACATCATTAGGGATAGGTGATCTTTTTCTGCAGATGCGTATCGAGCCAAGCCGCCCGAAAATATCGTCGCGAAGGCGAAGAAGGAGACCTCAGTGAGGCCACATCTTCGCTGTGCTATCAGGGTTTGGGGGCTCTTGTTGTCCCTACTTGCTTCTGCTGGGCATTCTCTTAGGGTGGAGGGCTCAGGGTGAAATCCATATGGGCTTTGGCACCTCGAAGATCAATCCGTCTTGTGATCCACCTTTTGCACATTCCAGACCTCGGAAATCCATCGAAACGGCAAGTCTCACCCTTTTGAAGGGGCCCCAGGACACACAAATAAATACACACAAATAAAAATATTCCCCATATTTTCCCATATTTTCTGGGTTTCTGTCTTCGCCCCCACTGCCCATATTTTCCCATGTTTTCTGGGGGATCGACGATTAATTGTGTCTGTGTTTTTTTTTCCTCCTGACCTTTGCCCTCGACTCAGAGAGATTCCTCGGCCCTGGGGCCCCCCAGACCCGGCTCCGCCGACCGTGCGAGGAGGCCACCGTGCAGGGCCGCAAGCGGCTCCCGGACCCCACCTCGGCCAAAGCCCGCCGGACCCCGTCGTTCTTCGTTGTTCGTTCCGTTCGTCGTCGTCGTCGTCGTTCGTCGTCGTCGTCATCATCGTCGATCGTTGTCATCCTTGTCGCCATCATAGAAGACGCTCTTCCGTTCGTCGTCATCGTCGTTCGTCGTCGTTGTCGCCGTCATCGTTGTCGTCGTCATCGTCGTCATCGTTGCCATCCTTGTCGCCATCATGGAAGACGCTCTTCCGTTCGTCGTCATCGTCATCGTCGTCGCTGCCCGCCCCCTTTCGCTGGGCCCTCCTCCTCAAGCGCGCCAGCCACAGGCCAAAGCGAAATTGAGCAACAACGTCGCAGTTGAGTCAAGGAGAAGCCCCTTCCCTTTCATCCCTTTCCCGCCGGGGGGGGGGTCACGGGGAGGTCCCTGGAGGGACCAGTGGCAAACCCCGGGTCAGAGGCTCCCAAGATCGCCCCAAGATAGCCATGAGGCCTCCAAGAGGGCCCCGAAACAACCCAAGAGGGCCGCAAGACGACTCAAGAGGCTTCCAAGACGGCCCAAGATGTCCCCAAGAAGGAGTGCCCAGACGGGGGACCCGAACGGACATTTCGAGCCTTCGGCCTGAGAGGCTCCCAGGAAGCGCCACGAAGCCCCCAAAACGCCCTCAAGAGACCCCCAAGAGGCCCGCAGGAAGATCCAAGCGGCCCCCAGCAACCTCCCAACAGGCCCCCAAGAGGCTCCCAAGAGAACACCCCACCTATCACCAGAGGCCCCCGAGAGCTCTGCGAAGAGACCCCACGAAGCATCCCTGAGGACTCTGACCCACGTCAGCATCGTCGTCGTCGTCGTTACGGGTCGGCGGCTCTGGCCGTAAGGTCTCTACAACCTGGCTTTCCAGGATCCTGCAAGATCTTGAGCTTTGGCTTGGCCCCATTCGCGCTGAACCCTGTTACCTGCTGGCTGACATCATACTTCGCATGAACTTCTGACCATGGGTTCCTGTCCGCTGCACCCAGAGCCAGAAACGAGCCCCCAGGGGGCGCTCACCTATGGCCCCCCGCGCAAGCATCGCCGACGCGTTGAAGCGGCAGAGCCGCTAAAATACACTGGGGACGCGGCCGCAAGAAACCCTCGCAAGAAACCCAGCCCTGATAGTCCTCGAAGTTTCTTGCCCAAGGCCTTGGGTTTATGTCCAAGGGATCCAATCGGAGAAACCCTGGGCACCCAAGGCGAACAGTCTCTTAACTATCGGGAGAAGTCGGCGCGCATCGCTGGACACGAAGAAACCCAGGGATCCCTGACGAAGCGCATCCTGTTTCATAATATGCGTCCTCACTGGAAACTGCTTGTGAGCGTTTTCTTTTTCGGCGTTTCGACATTGGGCGGCAGGGGGGTGGGGGAGGGGGGGGTCTGGCTCCGAACCTCTGCTGAGTGCGACTGTTTGCAGCAGTGCGCCCTGTGGAGAAGGGGCTCCACCTGCTCGAAACGGGTGCCAAAAACAGCTAAGACCTACTCCATGGGAGGGGGGGGGAGGGGGGGAGGGCGAGGGCCCGCGCCGATCGGCAAGACAAGGAATAAGAAGGCGATCACGATGCGCGTCCCCACTGGTGACCTGCTTGTCGTCACTGCGCATGCCGCTTCGTTCTCTGGTGGCCCTCTGGTGCCACCCCTCGCCGCCGAGGGCGGGCGCAGCACAGCGCGGGCGGCCGCTGGCGGGCTTGTCGGGCCGGTGCGCTGGGGAAGAGGGGGCAGGGGAAGGGAGGGCGAAAAGGGAAGGTGAAGGGTGTACGAGAAGGCGAGGCGCTAATGGAAGGAGGGTCCTTCCCTCCTCTCCCTCCTCCTCCTCCTCCTCCTCCTCCTTCTCCTCATCCTCCTCCTCCTCCTCCTCCACCTCCCTGAACGCGAGCAATGAGACTAGTATGGTATGCGTTCGAGACAAACCAATACAACTCATGCGGTGTCAGTCCCATGGTGCTCCTTCGACTGGCACATGGACTGGTCATATCGACTCACGGCGAACTGAAGGTGCAGACATCCTTGACGCCGACGTTCCCTTTCCCCCAACGCAATCAACCGAATCTCCTTTGAGTCACGGGCAACTTATGAACGAAAAGACTGGGGATAAAAAACATGATTCCAATCCCCTTCCAGAGGAGGGGCTCCATCCTCCCGCGGCTCTGGGGGGGCCAAGGTGTCAGAAGGTCCCTTTTGACCCAAGATGGCCTCAGATAGACTAAGATGACATCAATGAAAACAATATACAGCCCAAGATGGTCTCCAACATGCCTCCAAGAGGGCCCAAAACCGCACATCACGGCTCTAAGGTGGGAACAGAGCCTTCAGATGAGACTCCCGAGGTACCCAACTCATTCAAATGCAATTCCGTTTCCGAGGGCCATTAAGGCGCCAAGACGGCCCTAAGAACGCCCAAGGCGCCGCAGCCACAATAGTGGTCCAAGAGGGCCGCGATTGTTTAGGCTCAGACCGGGAGGGGGGGAGGCGACGAAATGCACGCCGCAACACACGAACGTTGCTTAGCGGAGTTTGGCTTTTCAGGGGCATCCCTTGGAAGCTTGGACTCCAATATGACAAAACATGGGTTCATATTGCCTACAATACTTCCTGTACAGAATCCCACCAGCCCTCTGGGCGTAGGTGGTTTAATGAGTTTTGTCCTCTCTGGCATGATCCTTCCTTCCCTTGCTCGGGGAAGGGGTTTATCACTGTTCCCTCTTAGTAAGCGCTCCCTCCCCCAGGCAACCGGCAGCACACCAGGACCAATGAGGGCACCCGTCCCCAACATCCCTGTGACGGAAACACTGTGAAGTCCACTTTGGGGCAAAATCTTGGGTCATGCTCGTGGGGGCCGTCAGCACCTTGTATTGTTTTTGACGGGGACGGCGGGGGTACTCGCAAATTGCCTGCTGCACGCAGGGCCAACATGACTGTCAAAAACAATACAGCATGCACTTCGACACAAAATCTGGATCATGCGCGAGCGCCCCACGATCACTGTGCGTTGGTGTTTGACTGGGACGGCGGGGGTGCTGGCATATTGCCTGCTGTGCAGGCCCACCAGACGCTATGATGACTACCCCGCCGCGATTGCGTGCTTGTTTTCGACAAGGGTGATGGGGGCCGACACGTTTTTCGACTGTGTACTGCCACGTGCGCAGGCGCACCTGGCACACTCTGCGCATGCCCCGAGCGTGGCGCACCTGGCGCGGCTGGAGCATGCGGCACACATGGCACACGTAGATCACGTGGCGCATCTGGCGCACCAGGCGTGCCCTGCACGCTTGGGCCAAAGAGGTGCCTTGCGCACCTGGCGGGCGCGGCGAGCCTGGCACGCCTGGCGCACCTCGCCCCAGCGTTGCGCACACGAACCCTGTTTTAGTTCCTCTGAGCTGCCCATCCAAAGAGTACCTCTGAACACGCTGCGGCTCGAGTGCTGACTACGTGGTGGGAGGGCGAGTGGGAGTGAGCGAGACGGCTTGCGGGCGGGGAAGGTGTCTTGACCCCTCCCTGGACACCCGCCCTTGGGCCTGGGAGGGGGGGGGACGGAGCGATCAGAGCGCCCAAGATGGCACAAGATGGCTCGAAAAGAGCCTCGGAAACCGCAAGATGGCCTCCAAGATGGCGCAAGAGAGCTCAAGATGTCTCAACATAGCCTCCGACATACCTGCAAGAGGTCCCAAGACAGCCCCAAGACGATTAGAAAGGTTCTCCGAGCCCTCCAAGGACACCCGCCAAGAGGCCCAAGACCTCCTCAAAGAGCCCCAAGAAGGCCCCAAGACTGCCCCAAGAGAGCCCCACGAGTGCCAAAACAGGTCAACACCATTGAACAACCCCAGAAAACAAAACAATGCTGTTGCGTTCTCGCCGTATCGCTTCCGAAGGCCTTCTGGGGCCTCAAGATGGCTCGGACTGAAGGGTATTGCAGGGTCGTCGTAGGGACTTTGCAGGGTCATTGCAGGGTTGTTTGCAGGGTCTCCGCAAAAAAATCAATTGGCTTCCAACAGGCTCGCGGAGCGAAGGCTCCGCGACGATTAGATGGTTGTCTCGTCGCAGGCGTCGTCGGCTTCATCGTCGTCTCGAGCAGTAGCGCCGACGGTCAGGGGCCATGCCCCCCAGGGCGCGAACGGTGCGCGAAACAGGGCGCGCAAGGAGACCGTGCTCCGCGCGCCCTGTTCGGCCGCTCCCCAGAACATCAGCCAGACAAGTCGGGTTCCCAGACACGCGACGTCCTGATTTTTGATCAGGACGGTGCCTCGGGAAGTCACGCCCTTTTCCCCGGGGCCGGTTTTTCATCCTGAGTAGTTTTTTGATGGTCCCGAGGCCCGGCGAGGGCCCCCAGGGGCAGACAACTGGCAAAAACCTCGCGTCCTGAGTTCTTGTACGACGCGATCCTGTCTGGGTTCGCGCCCAGGAGGGGAGGGAGGAGGAGGGCAGCAGGGGGCCGGAGGCGGGGCAGGGCCCAGCCAGACCTCGAGACCCCCGGCTGCCCGCCCTCCCCGGAAGTGCAGTGCGACCCCCGGGGCTCCCGCCCTCGGGACGATGGGCTCACTTGTCACCACCAAGACCCTGGGTAGGAGGAGGAGGAGGGGGGGGAGGAGGAGGAGGAGGAGGAGGAGGAGGAGGAGGAGGAGGAGGAGGAGGAGGAGGAGGAGGAGGAGGAGGAGGAGGAGGAGGAGGAGTAGGAGTAGGAGGAGGAGGAGGAGGAGGAGGAGGAGGAGGAGGAGGCGGAGGAGGAGGCGGAGGGGGAGGAGGAGGGGGAGGAGGAGGGGGAGGAGGAGGAGCAGGAGGACCTCCTCATCCTCCCTTCTCGCCCGTGCTACACGTGGTAGCGGTGGTGGAAGATTTGCCCATCATCGGGGGGCAAAAACAGCATCATTGTCGGGGGGACGGGTTCGGGGGACTCGGGCTGGCCTGACGGTGCCATCATGAAAACGACGAGACCCAGTCCGAAATGGCACGCGAACTCCCGCTGCAGACATCCCACGAAAACAGGACCGTCAAAACTCACGACGCGCTCGAAAAGAACGCCCGCTGACGGGCTACCGATGGGAGCGTGTGATTCATAGCGACCCCTTGCCCCGGATTTGCTCTGCATCCCTGATCGCTTCTTGTTTGACGATCCCTGTCGGCAGGTGAACGGGAACGATCGTCGGGCACACGCCAACATGGATCAGGGATTCGTTTCGTAGACCTGGCGCGTGGGCGCCAGATCACCGATCGGGGAAAGTGCCCCCCCGTCCCCCCCCGATACAGGAGGCCAGTGCCGCCACCTGTTTGCGACGCAGCGCCGATTCCGTGCGGAAGCGGGACCAGTCGCTCACCCACGCGCCAAACCCTGATCCATGCTTGCGCTATCATGCTTAGGAGGGGGACTGGCTCAAGGGCGGGGCGAGAGGGGGCAACAACCTGGAATCGGCGACACATCGCACAAAGAGAGATCGGCGATAGGCCCTCGGACAGCAGATCCGCCAGCTTCTGCGCGGGATTGGGGGGGTCAGGCCCCCGTTGTTGGAGCCCAGATCCGTTCAGAATCGATCCCTGGACCCCTCTCTGAAGAAGAACAAACTGCACAAACATAAACTTTTGGCGCTCCGCGCAAATTTCTCGGATCTGCACTGACCCCCTCCCTGGCGCGCGGAGCGCGGCAGGGGCGGCGCCAGGGGCACCGCCTGGGGGCCCCAGCGCGAAATCCGCGCGGAGCGCCCAAAATTTATGTTTATGGCGCTTTTCCTTATTCGACTCCCCGGATCCGTCCTGATCCTTTTCGTGAGGGGGATCCAGCCGTGGGGCGTCGAGGAAGCAGCCGCCTGGAAGCTCCAACACAAGGCTTAGGTCGGGCATGTCATCCTACAAGCGGATTTTGGACTAAATCCGCCGATCCGGCGTGTGAACTACAAGAAGCCTCAGCAAGCGCTTCAGCACTGCTTGGGGGGGTCGCCCGGGTGGCTCTGCCGGGGAAGGGGGAGGGGGGAGGGGGCAGTCCCCCCTCTGTCGTTTTCTCAATCATTTGCGCATCCCCGAGATATTTCAGGGGGTGCCAGGGACCCCCCCCAGGACTCTCCCTCGGAATCCTCCCCGGACGCCCCCTCCCGAAGAAGGGGGAAGAGAGGGGGGGGGGGGGGCGGTCCCCCATCTGGCGTTTTCTGGATGAGTTGCGCATCCCCAAGATCTTTCGGGGGATCCCGGGACCCCCCTCAGATCTAGCCGCTACCGCTCCCAGGACCCTCCACTCAGAACCCTCCACGGACCCCCCCCCCGGGACCGCTTCAGGCACCCCGCTAGAGGGCACGTCAGCTCCAAAAAGCGTCCCCGACGACTCCGAGAGCGCCCTCCCTCCCAAACAGCGTCCCCGTCGACTCCAAGATCACCGAGTCCGGAGCCCCCCGGATCGGCGGCACTGGCAAGAGGCCATTACAATATAACAAATAGTCATACAGAAAGCCCAAATCGCCGAAAGTAATAGAAAAATCATCCCCAGACTATTTTTTGATGTTTTTGCAATTTCTTCCTGTAGAGGGACATGCCCGACTTAACGCGAGGCAGAAAGCGCGACACCCGCCTCTTTGAGACTGGCGACGGCTGGGCGACGCAGGGTCGACATATCTCCCCCTGAGCTTACGTAAGAAGAAGCCAGGGCGAAGACAGTCCCCCTCCTCCTCCTCCTCGTCGTGCTTTGTCTCCTCCTCCTCCTCCTCCCCCTCCTCCGCCTCCCCCTCCTCCTCCTCCTCTTCCTCCTCCTCCTCCTCCTCCTCCTCCTCCCCCTCCTCCTCCTCCGCCTCCTCCTCCTGTCTTGACCTTGAACTGACTTTAGAAACGTCTCCCCCTCCACTCAGAAGAATCCAGGACGAGAATGAAATTGGGCGAGGATGAATCGGAAATGATAGACTACAGAATTGATTGACCTTCAATAAAACTTGTTTCTTCGAACCCCTTAAACATGCGACATATTTTGTCGATTCGATGGGAAACCAACTCTGGGGGAAATCAATTCTGTAATCGATTCCCCACTCGATAGATCCGGCGGCTCTGGAGGACTTGTCGGGAGCGCCGATGGCCTTCTCAGAGAGCTCTGGGACGCTGTGAGGGCGTTCCGGAACGCGCTGGACTGGACTTATCCGCGTCCGAGCCCCACCCGACGATTCCCCCCCCCTTTGGTCATCGGGCCTGAACTCGGCTCCCCCGCGCCCGCTCGGGATCGTTCTGGAATTAGAGGCCTTCTAGAAGTTACCGGGCGAAGAACGATATAAAATAAACTTTTTCTCTGTCGGGGGCGCCTGTCCCAGGGCGGCTGGAAAGTTTATACCCTTACGGTGGCACCGTGGGGGTATAAACTTTCCAGCCGCCCTGGGGCAGGTGTCCCCGACGACGGAAACGTTTATTTTATACCGTTCTTCGCCCGTTAAAGAAGGGGCCGGAGCAGATGGGGTCGGAGGATCGCACCGCATCGCCGCTACATCGACACTGCATCGGCGATGCACTGGCGACGCATCGGCGACTTCGGCGATGCATCGGCGGCGTCGGCGTGGGGAGACACGGGACCCACATCGAGCCGCATGGTCGATACGTCGACGATGCGGCGCGATCCTCCGACCCCATCTACTTGGACCCCATCCAGGAGGCCTAGAGGAACCCCCAGAGCGCTCTCTGGCGAGGCATAGCTGCCAGGGAGCATTGACGAGGACAGACGAGGACGTCCCAAAAAATCGTCACCTCGGCCTCGAGACGCCCTGGGCCGGTCCCGCCCCCTGCCGTTCGAGGAGGGGGCCGGCTACAGGATTGACTTACCCCGAACTTGCCATTTGCATCAGAGCTCGGAGAGGAATACGCCGAACGGATGTAGATCCACGGGCCTTCGACGTAGTCACCGTAGACACGACGAACAAATCTGTAGTCGACCTCCTACTCGAGTCGCTGCAGCCTGAGCAGGTGCCCGCGCGCCGCGGGGCCTTCGTCGAGAACACCTTCACGACGGTGCCAGTCTCCGAGGCCGTCGCCACCATGTGCCCCGAAGCAGTGATCGCCTGGCCGCGCCCCCGACGGGGCACGAGGGCGCTTCCTCCGCCGTTCGGCGCACGGGCCCCTCCCCCCCAAAAAAACATCCGACTGCATGTGGTTTCGAATTGTTTCACGGGCGTTCATGTTTCATCGATCTCTGCCCACAAGGCCCCGTGACCGGGCCCTCCCTGTAGGCCACCAAAGATAGATCCGGTTCGAAAAGCCGCTCCCGGGAAAGTGGTCGGAGCCTCTGGGGCCGTGGACCGAAAGGTCACAGCGTCGGATGCCTGGCCTGGTGACGTCACCTTCGGCGCCAGCGGTGCCCGGGATCTCCTAACAATCTCACTGAAGGGGCCCCAGGACACACAAATAAATACACACAAATAAATCGATTCCCCATATTTTCTAATAGTTTCTGGGTTTTTGTCTTCCCCCCCACTTCCCATATTTTCACATATTTTCTTGGGAATCGACGATTAATTGTGTCTGTGTGTTTCTTCCTCTCCTGACTCACCTGGTCTGGACCATTCACAGACCCCCCGCGAGCGCGCAAGGTCACGTCACGGGGCCCCTCTCCCCCGGCGACGCCCGCTAGGCAAGGATGATACAAAACGGGCGCCAGGGCCAGGGGGGCTTCCTAGTGGGATGCAACCCGAAGCCAGTCGGTGATCGAAGGCAGGCGACGCAAGGGGTGGAGGGGATGGTCCGAGAGGCTTGGTTGCGAGGCGGGAGGTGCTGCATATCCACCGCCTGGGAAAACGATCTCTCCAGGACTCCAGAGGGCGGTGGTGGATATGGATATAGCTCGGCCCCAGGTTGTCCATGGGGACACTGAAGGGGCCCTGTGACACACAAATCAATAGACACAAATCCCAGGCATCCCCATGTCTTCTGATGCTTCCAGGATTTCCGTCTTCCCCCCCCACTTCCCATATATTCCCATATTTCCCTGGGGATCGACGATTAAAATTGTGCCTGTGTGTTCTCTCCCCTCCTGAGAAACATCGACCTGGAACCGCCGATACGCCGCCGGTAGAGCGGCGGCGGGCCCCCGAAAGCGCATCTTTACGCTCTTGAGCCGGCTAGGCCTAGGGCGGGCATGTCCCCCTACAGGCGGATTTGGGATGAGGAGAAAATGCCGCAAACATGCTCAAACATACTGAACAAATCGAAACATCGTCCACGTACCATTTTAGGACTATTTTTGAATATCCCTCCTGTAGAGGGACATGCCCGACTAAAGGCTAGGCCATCGGGCCCCTGTCGGCGATGACTTTAGAAAGAGAAATTATCCCAGCGCGACCCTACCTAGGAGTTGGAACCCCTAGGAAAGCAGCATTAGTAGTAACAGTAACGCTAAGCTAAAGCTAAGCTAAAGCTAAGCTAAAGCTAAGATAAAGCTAAGCCACAGCTAAGCTAAAGCTAAGCTAAAGCTAAGCTAAGCTAAAGCTAAGCTAAAGCTAAGCTAAAGCTGAGCTAACGCTGAGCTATAACTAAGCTAAATCTAAGCTAAAGCTGAGCAGCAGCTAAGCTAAAGCTAAGCTACAGCTAAGCTAAAGCTAAGCTAAAACTAAGCTAAAGCTAAGCTAAAGCTAAGCTAAAGCTAAGCTAAAGCTAAGCTACATCTAAGCTCAAGCTAAGCTAAAGCTAAGCTAAAGCTAAGCTAAAGCTAAGCTAAAACTGAGCTAAACACTATGCTAAGCGAAACGCTAAGCTAAAGCTAAGCTACAGCTAAGCTAAAGCTAAGCTAAAGCTAAGCTAAAACTAAAGCTAAAGCTAAAGCTCCCAGGGGACTGGGGGGAACCGCTCCCAGGGGACTGGGGGAACCGCCCGGGGCGCTTTCCATTGCCCGGCCCCTTTCAGCTAACAGAGTAAGAACCCTTCTAGGCAGAGCCTAGGTAGGGAACAACGACATAAACATAAATGTTTGGCGCTTCGCCGATACACCGCCGGTAGAACGGCGACAGGCCCCCGAAAGCGCATCTTCACGCTCCTGAGAAGGCTGGGCCATCGGGCCCATGTCGGCGATGACTCTAGAAAGGGAAACAACGACATAAACATAAACTTTTGGCGCTCCGCGCGGATTTCTTGGATCCGCGCAGGACCCCCCTCCGCGCCAGAGGCGCCACAGAGGGGGCCCAGCGCGGATCCAAGAATCCGCGCGGAGCGCCAACAGTTTATGTTTATGCAGATTTTTTTCTTAGACTGTCGGCGATGAATCGGCGATTGTAGATGCCTCCTAGACGGGGTCGGAATAGATGGGGTCGGATGATTGCGCCGCATCGCCGATACATCGACGATGCATTGGCGATGTATTGGCGATGCACCGGCGATGCATGGTCGACGTCGGCGATGTATCGGCGACGTCTACGTGAAGCGAATCGGGCTCCACATCGCGCCGCATCGGCGATGCATCGGCAATGCATTTGCGATGCGGCGCGACCCTCCGACCCCATCTACGGCAGGTTCGTGTCGTGCCGACCCCAGCGTTGGTTTTTGACACCGCAGGGATCGTTCAACCTTGAACGATCGGCCGCTGCCGCAAGGTCCGATCGTTCAACATCGATCGATTCTGGGTCGCCGGCGGCGTTCAACCTCGAACGCCCGCGCTGGGGTCGCCGCTGGTCGACACGACGCAAACCTACCGTACTCCGACCCCATCTGCGCGGCGTGGAGATTGGGGGGACCGATGCCCTCCCACCCCCGAGCCTGTCCCCCTCCCTGACGCTGCCCCTTGGTGCTCGGGCCAGAGCTCGGCTCACCAGGCTCCTCCTCCTCCTCCTCCTCCGCCTCCGCCTCCGCCTCCTCCTCCTCCTCCTCCTCCTCCTCCTCCTCCGCCTCCGCCTCCTCCTCCTCCTCCTCCTCCTCCTCCTCCTCCTCCTCCTCCTCCTCCTGGTTCAAGCAACATCTTTGCTCGCGTGGCCAGCTGGCCTTGCCCCAGCTCCTCCGCCCGCCAGCCCTGTGCGTCATGGAGCGTGCCGCCTGCCTGGTGACCGCCTCGCGCACAACGTCGTCGATGACGAGACGGAGAAGGCTCCAGCGCTCTGCGGCCCGCCGGTCGCAGTGCTCCAGCCTGGAGCTGATCGCCGCACTGCAATGCGGGCCCCCGCCTGGCCTGGCCAGGCTCCGGTCGGCCCCTGCCGGGATCCTGCTGCCGGTGCTGGAGAACTTCAGGGAGGAGCTCTTCATCGGCAGGCGCTCAGACACGCTGCTCGCAGCCTTGGATCGTCACAGATCTGGGGACAGCGTATGCGAGAAGTGGGAGGCGAAGATAGAGCCCGATCTGTTTGCTAGCCACAAGACTGGTTTCAGCGCGTGTGAGAGGTGGAAGGCGATGGACGAGCCCGATTCCACCAGCTACAGCGCCGAGGTCAAGGCAAGCGAACAAGGGATGGCAGAGCAGGAGGCGCAGTGCGAGAAGAATGAGGCGAAGTTAGAGCCCGTTATATCTAACCCTATGCACCCTAGCCACAGCCCTGCGGACAGCGCCTGCGAGAAGTCGGAGGCGAAGTTGCAGCCTGATATGATCAGCTACAGCATTGAGGTCAGGGCGTGCCATAATGGGAGGCCTCAGCCAGAGCCCGTCGCTAGCCACAACACTGGGATCAGCGCGTGCGAGAGGTGGAAGGCGAAGGACGAGCCCGACACCGCCAGCTACAGCGCCGAGGTCAGGGCATGCGATAAATGGACGGCGAAGCAGGAGCCAGGGGAATCGTGTGAGCAGTGGAAGGCGCAGACAGAGCCCGTCCGCATCACTAGCCACAGCCCTGGGGACAGCGCGTGCGAGAAGTCGGATACGAAGATCGTGCCCGACATGTGCACCCACAGCGTTGCGATCGACACGTGCGAGGATCAGGATATGAAGGTAGAGCCCGTTATCTATAGCTACAGCCCTGGCCACAGTTCTGGGAACCACGAGTACGAGAAGTTGGAGACGAAGGTAGAGCCCAACGTGCTCAGCTCCAGCGCAGCGATTAGGGCAAGCGAGAATAACGAGTGCGAAAAGCCCCACTGGACGTACCTAGGTATAGATGGTCAGTGGCGAGCCTTTCAAGATTTCGATGAATACGATAATGATGCAGTAGAGAGACGCTACCAACAATACGTCCTCAACCACAAGAGCGTCCAGAAGTTGAAGGTATTTGATCGTTGCGCGATTGTCAATTTCAGCACGATGACCGTCAACTTCCTGGGCGCTACAAGGGAGCAGAAGATACACAGAGCTCTCTTGTACGCTCTGAGGGTTAGTTGTGTTCAGTAGTTTCTCTCGTGTTTCGAATGTCTGCTGCCTGTGCGAATGCCGCAGGCTGCAATCGGAATGCCAGATAGAGAAGTATGAGTGCAGGTCGACGAGCCAGGTATCCCTGGTGCTTCCCTGCAGCAGGCCAGATCGACGAGGCAACGGTCCTTGTCACAATTCGATTCGAGGCGAATCGACACTGAACCCACCCCAGCCGAGCGCTCGTCCTCCTCCTCCTCCTCCTCCTCCTCCTCGTCCTCCTCCTCCTTCTCCTCCGCCGCCTCCTCCTCCTCCGCCTCCTCCTCCTCCTCCTCCGCCTCCTCCTCCTACCCCGAGCCCTTTACCTCTCCCGCCTCGGGCGGTGTCCCCGGCGGTGCTGGCGGCGCGGGCGAGGCACGCGCCGCGCGGGCCGCGCGGCGAGGGGGCCTCATCCTCCTGCTCCTCGCGGCCTCGCACGCCGCGGCAACCTCACGCCGCGAGGATGCGAGCGCCGGCCCCCGTCGGCAGCGAGCCCAGGGGGGGGGGAAAGGCAGAGGCAGAGTCGTGCTGCGCTCGGGGGTGAGCAAAAAAAACCCTTCAGCAAAACGTGGTCTGGTGAAACCGACCTCGGGCCCAAAGCTGGAGAAGGACGGCCGCGGCGCCCTCTCGGGAACCGAAAACAGACAATTCACCAGTCGACGTGTCAGGGTGGGAGTTCTGTCCACCCCCGATGCTCCCATCGTACTCAAGGAGAGCGTCCCAGAAATAATTTCGAGCACCCAGAGAAGTATCGAACCAGTGTCGAACGAGTATCGCCTCCCAGGGCCCGACGAGTGAAGACCATTCAGTTTCGGTACTTTCTTGGTGCTCGAAATTCTTTCTGGTGATCAAGGCCACAGTAGGTTGGAACATCATAGAGGTAGAGGCCTCCTAGATGGGGTCCGAGTAGACGGGGTCGGAGGAGCTCGCCGCATCGGCGATATATCGGCGACGCATCGGCGATGCATCGGTGATGCACTGGCGATGCACTGGCGACGTCGGCGGTGCAATGGCGACGCCAGCATGGATCAATTCGGGCTCCACATCGAGCCGCATCGCCAATGCATCAGCGATGCATCGCGATCCTCCGACCCCATCTGCTCGGACCCCATCTGGGAGGCCTAGATTCTCAGCAGGCTCGGGGGCCTCCGGAGTTCCGAGAAATATTTTAAGCCGACCCCGTCTGCTCGGACCACATCTGGGAGGCCTAGATTCTCAGCAGGCTCGGGGGCCTCCGGAGTTTCGAGAAATGTTTTAAGCCTTCTCCACAGACGAAGACGGCTTCTCATAAGGCCGGAGGGCTTCTGAGTTCTGAGAAGCCCCGCCGCCTTCTGAGAAGACCTGCCTTCTCTAATTTCCCCTGGGCTCGCCGCCGACTGCCACCGGGTAGATCGCTCAACCTACGAAGCCAGGATCAGAGCAACATCGGTCCAGGACAAATCGGGGATCTCTGACATCTGGCGACTCGGGAGGATGCATCCGACGCCTCCGCCGTCTCAAAGAGCTCTGGGACGCTCATAAGAGCGCTCCAGAACGCCCTGGAACGATTTGTCCCAGTCCTAGCTCCGTCTGATCCTGCCCTCCCCCCAGATGGGGCTCGATGTATACGCCGAGTCTATTGAACGGCCGAGGGACCAATGAGCTCGGCGAAGGAATTCGGTGTAACAGTCATCGTTCGGCCGCAAGGTAAGACAAATAAGGAACAAAGGTGCTTCTCTGGTCAAGGGCAGACTCGGCCACGAATAGATTCGCCGACCTAGATCCAAGGGAGGGCCAGAAAACCACAGGCCGTCTTGAGCCCAGAGGGATCCTTCTCTCGGCGTCTTCGCTACAGACGCTCCAGCGTCCTAGAGGTCGGGGAGGTTTGGGCGTCTAGAACACCGAGCTGCCCGGCCGACCAAACGACGTGATGTATTGAAGGGGCCCCGGGACACACAAATAAACACACACACACAAATAAAAGGATTCCCAATATGTTTTCCCATCTTTTTGTGTCTATGCCTTGCCCCCCCCCCGCTTCCCATATGCTCCCGTCTGTTCTGGGGAACCGGCGATGCATTGTGTCTGTGTGTTTCTTCCCCTCCTCTCTCTTCTCTTCTCTCTCTCTGGAGGAGGAGGAGGAGGAGGAGGAGGAGGAGGAGTGTACCCTCCCCGCCCACCCCTTTGGAGCGACCCGCGGACCCGTCCCGAACCGCCTCGAGACCTCGGGCCGCCGCGCCTGCCCCGACCGCTCCCGGCCGGCCGCCCGCGGACCGAGCCAGCAGCCGGATCGCACCGGATCGGGTCGCAGGCTCGGGTGGGGCCTGTCCTCCTACAGGCGGGTTTGGGACGAAGCATCAAACAGCGTACGAATACAAGCAGGAGGTGTACAATGTTTTGGATGGAAAATGCCTCGATTCAAGCATCGTCCCCGTGCTGCTTTGCGGCTATTCTTGAACGTTCCTCCTGCAGGAGGAACCAGGCCCGACTTGGCCGCAGGCGGCCCTGCCCGCCCCTCCCCCCGCGCCGCCCCCCCCCCCCCCCGCCAGAGCGGCGAGCGCGGTCTGGTGCGCGACGAAGGTGTGCGTGGCGGTGTCGTCCTGCGCCCCCCCCCCTTCCTTTCGGCGGGAGCTCCGTCCTCCCTCCCAGCGCCGCGGGGCGCGCTGACGGCGACGTTGGTTCACGGCGATGTCGGGAATATGGCTTTTTTGACGCCGAGCTCGCGCAGAATGAATCGTAGGAAATCGCGAACCGCACTTCTCTACATGTCAAATGTGCGACTGTATCGAGCGAAAACGACGCAGCGACTTGTAGGAAAGCGCGAGCCACGATGTCCTATAATGTGTTTGGCCACGAACCGATCCCACCTACGATGCCGGAGCCTGCATCGCCGTTACCTGCATTACCGTTAGCGCGTCTGCAGACAACTTCAGGGCGGGTATGGATTGCCATAGCTCTCGAATCGCCCCTGGCGCCCTGGCTCGTCCTGGGTTCCCTGCCCAGCACCGTCCCTGTGGATGCTTCCATGCTCTTTTTGCTAAGCTTCACAATTCTCACCATCGGTTCAATGCCGCTGGTAGAATCAAAAAGAACCAGGAAAACACCATAAACATTGACTTTTGGCGCTCCGCGCGGATTTCTGGGATCCGCGCCCGACCCCGGCGCCGGAGGCGCCGCCTGGGGGTCCATGCGCCGATGCAAGAAATGCGCGCGGAGTGCCACCTATCAACCTCACCCTCAGCAAGCCTCTCCCTTCCCCATCCCGCCTCGCCCTCCCACCTCGGTCTCCTGTGAGATCGGGCATGTTCCCCTACAGGCGGGTTTTGGAAGATACATAAAACTGTTGGAAAACATAGAGAAATCGCCCCGAAACTATGTCTTCACTATTTTTGAAAATTCCTGCTGTAGAGGGGCACGCCCGACTTAAGCCTCCTGCATGCCTCCCTCCCTCCCCCCTCCCTCCCCCGCTCCCTCGCTCGGCCGCCCCGTCACTTCCTCCTCATCCCTGCTGCGCAAGGCACAAGACGCAACGTGAAGGGTCGGCGAGCACAACACAAACTGCAAGCAACAAGTGAGGGCAGCTCAAACCGACCTGAAAGAGGAGAGAGAGACGAGAACGAGAGAGAGAGCTTCACGGGTTGAGGGCGGGTGGTGTCCAACATGTTGTTCTCGCCTTGGTGCCGCGCACATTCGTTAATATTTGCAAGGGTTTCACGGATTGAGGGCGGTTCCTTTTCAAAATGTGGCTCTCGCTTTAGCGCCGCGCACGTTCACATATTGAGGGCGGGCGGTTTTCAAAATGTGGCTCTCGCCTTAGCGCCGCGCACGTTCGTTTTCAAAAGTTGTAAGAATTTCACGGGTCGAGGGCGGGTGGCTATCAACATGTGGTTCTCGCCGTAGCCCCGCGCACATTCGCTTTACGGATTGAGGGCGGGTCGTCTTCAAAATGTGGCTCTCACTTTAGCGCCGCGCGCATTCGTGCAATAACTTCACGGATTTAGGGCGGTTCCTTTTCCAAAGTGTGGTTCTCGCTTTGGTGCCGCGCACATTCGTGTCAAACAGTTGCAAGAGTTTCGCGCATTTGTTTTCATAACCAGCGTATCAGAAATGGGGTGTTGGAAAGGTTCAAGATTGTGCGGGTGCATTGAATAGGTTCATTTGCGGCGTTGAAGTCCCAACAACGGCATTATGGCACGATTCCATACCGTCCAGACGCAGCAGTCAAGTTGATCCGTGGCGTGGAGAACCCCGAGAACGATGTTTTGGCATGCTTCGAGGTCTTCAAACGGTTGTCTTCCAACGAGGCAGTTCCCTCAATGGAAATGAACCGATGCAGGGGCGTATGAAGAGGAAGCTTGGAAGGAGGCTTAATTACAACATCGTTGATGACTTTTGGGTTTACACTGGTCCTCCTCCTCCTCCTCTTTCTCCTCAGTTTTCTCCTCATCTTTCTCCTCCTCTTTCGCCTCCTCGTTCGCCTCCTCTTTCTTTTCATCTTTCTCCCCCTCTCCTTCCTCCTCGTCCCCCTCCTCGTTGTTCTCCTTGTCCTCCTTCTCCTCCTCCTCCTCCTCCTCCTCCTCCTCCTCATCATCATCATCATCATCATCATCATCATCATCATCATCATCGCCATCATCAACATCAGTATCATCATCACAATCCTGACCATGATAATCGTCATAACAATCAGCATCATCATCATCATCATCATCATCATCATCATCAGCATCAGCATCAGCATCATCATCATCATCATCATCATCATCATCATCATCATCATCATCATCATAATCATCATCCTCGTCATCATCATCATCATCATCATCCTCATCATCAACATCATCATCATCGACTGCATCAGAATCATGACCATCATCATCATCACCAACATCATCACAATGATCATGATCACCATCAACAGCACCATCGTCGTCATCATCATCATCATCATCAGCATCAGCACCAGCACCAGCATCATCATCATCATAATCATCATCGGCACCATCAGCATCATCATCAGCATCATCATGATCACCATCACCATCACCATCACCATCACCATCACCATCACCATCACCATCATCATCATCATCATCATCATCATCATCATCATCATCATCATCATCATCATCATCATCATCATTATCAGCATCATCAGCATCATCATCGCGGTTCCCTGAGGGGCTGCGAAGTGGGCAGCTGTCGCCACTTTCGTGGCCTCGTAGGAGGCCCAATGGAGTGGGGAGTATGCAAATCTAGCCGAAACATCGCAGGTCCCTGGGTGCCTGCGAACTGCCTAACCGTCGCCACTTTCGTGGGCTCCTGGGCAGTCCAGCGGCCTATGGAACTAACAAATCCGAAACCTCGCAGCACCCTCGGTGACTGCGAGCTGATGAATTGCCGCCACCTCCGTCAACTTCGGGGAGGGCCAGCGGAATGGGGGAGTACGCACATCTAGCTGAAACTTCGCGTATCCGGGTGGCTGCGATTTGCGGAATTGTCGCCATTGTCGCTGGCTTCTTGGAAGCCCCGCGGGGTGGGGGAGTACGCGCATCCAACCGAAACCTCGCGATTCCCGGAAGGGCTGCGAACTGCGCAACGGGCTCCGGTTTCGTCGGTTCCTGGGAATGCGGGGGGTACGCACATCTAGCCGAACCTCGCGGTTCCCTGACAAGGGGTGCCAACTGCGCAGAATCGCGACCTTCGTGGGCTCCTGGGAGGCCCAGCGGAGTGGGGGAGTACGCACACGCAGCCGCAACCTCGCAACTCCCACGGGGGGCTGCGATCAGCCTAACCGTCGCCACTTTCGTGAGCTCTCAGAAGCCCAGCGGAACTGGGGAGTACTTTTTTTGGTCGCGGCCGCAAGCGAAGAGCGCATGTGGCGAGCAGGGTGTCCGGGCCGATGGGGAGTACGCGCAATCAGCCGAAACCTCGCAACTCACTGGGGGGCTGCGAACTGGGCAACTGTCGCCACCTTCGTGGGTTTCTGGAAGGCCCAGCAGACCGGGGGAACACGCACATCCACACACCCAGCCGAAACCTCGCGGCTTCTGCGCACTGCGGGTGCTTCGGCGTGTTCGTCTGGATTGAACGGTCCTGGGTATAGTCGCCATATGTTTAGAGAGAGAGTCCGGCACGTCGCAAGATTGCTAGGACCTGTGTGGTGGGCAGGGGGCACTTCAACGCCGCGAAGATTAGATGCTGGACTCCTCGCGGGCTCCATACGACCAAGGCCCGCCCGACCTCATGTGACATTCGAACGGGCATACGACGGAGGACGTGGGCCCAGACTCTGGCGACTACCCAACAAGGAAGTAGCCCAACAACGCACTTCAATAGCAATCAGGGTGTGGAGGCGGATTGGCGCCTGAAGTCGGCTTGCGAACACGACCTCATCATATGGCCGATACGACCGCGGAGTTAAACTTGCTGATGAGGGCGACGTTCGTGATGTCGACATGGTGGCATGAACGCGCTTGGAACAGAATTTGGGACCGAGCGACCCCACTCCTGGCGGCTGGACTGGTCAGAAGCCGACGGCCCTGTCACACTTTTAAGACCTAAGACAGCTGGGATGGTGAGAATCTGATGCCCCTGCCACAAAATCTGGGACTGCGACGGCTGAAATCGAGCCAGAGCACCACGATGATTCTAATGTCTGGATCTGTGAGGGCTGAAATCGAGCACGAGCACTCGCCCCCTCCCGTGTGGAGATTCTGGTGACAAGAACATGTGAACTGAAATCGACCCAGAAAACCATAGTGACTCATCTCTGGACCAATTGAGCAGGAACGCCAGAGTGAGCTCCACTCCCGGATCTGCGAGAAATGAGATCGAGCCAGAACAGTGTAGTAATCGACTCCGGACAGCCGCCGGACGGGTGAGGCGCCTCCCCCTAGCCCACCCAGTGGAGATTCTGGTGAGAAGGAATCGCGCCAGAACGCTGCACTGAGTCTCACGTCTGGCCAAAACCGGGCCAGAGCACCACAACGAATCTCATCTCAAGTCTGGGAGAGCCGACATGCGGCCAGAACACAGTAGCGAGCCCCTCCAAGCAAACTCGAGCCAGAACACCATAGTGAGTCGTATCTGGGAAAACCACAAGGTACCGAGACCGCTACTCCCTAGACCTCTCCCGGGGAACGTTCTGACCAGCTAGGACTCCGGGGCGAATCCAGCGGTGGCGACCCCAGAAGGGGAAAGCGAGGAAAACGCAGCGGCATGGGCACTTCTTCCTCCTCTGAGTATCCCTGGACCACATCGAGCCAGAGCGCCCTGTAGCGAGCGCTGCCGGGCGACCACATGGGAGCCAGGACGCCACAGCGAGCCAGGTTCTCACTCTGGCCCGCTCCGCCGGGCCGCGCCGCCGGGCCCTCGCCGAGGAGCTCCTGGCGAGAGAAAACCGTCGAGCACCCATCAGGACGCTCCAGCGGAACGCTTCCAGGGCACTACTACCCTCGTCAAAATTAACCTCAACAGTTGCTGGCACGTCATTTCGATTTCGGCGCGCCCCTCAATGTCGACACGCCGCCCCTTCAATGTCGGGGCGAGGGCAAAGATAGTCTGACCGAAGTTGACTCGAAAGTTTGACGTCGACCGACATTGGAGGGGCGGCGCATGCAAGTACCCCGCACTCATCGATACTCGGCCCCAGATCTTCCGACAAGAAGTTCAACCACGTCAGATATTTTTGAGGTTAATTTTGACGAGAGTTGTAGCAAGCGGGGGCCGCACAACGAAGGAGTGGCGAACGCGCCGTGTGGTGAGTCGGTGGAAGTGCGGGTTCGCCCTACGGCTTTGGACCTGGGTCCCTCTCCGAGGGTGTCTCGGGCGGCTGGGGCCTCCAGGGTTCCAAGACCGTGCGGTGACGGGCCGCGCGGTGAGGTCTGTGGGGGTTCTGCGGCCGCCGCACGGTCTGTCACCGCACCGTTGTGGGACCCCTCGGGGTGTGCGGTACGTCTGCAGGAAGTGTCGGCCTCGAGAGGCCGTGGCCAGGCCCCTGGCGCCAACGAAGAGCGGCTCGGGACGAACAGCGTGGCCTTGAGAAAGGGTCGAGAGGACCAGAGTCTCGAATATCGAGTCGCCAGGAAGTCTGTGGAGCACCAGCCGGAGAAAGAGGATCGAACTGTCTGTGTGCGTTGGCTCCTGGCAGGCCTCCGTAGGCTTCCGAAGCAGCAAGGGAC